GAGCTGAGCAGGGGCCACGGATAGAAGGGAGACCTAGTGGGGCTGGAATTTTTGACTTGAAACTTCCTCGTGTAAAATGTTTTAAATTCTTTTTCAAACTGCAAGTGGTTCTTATTGAGGGCTGTGGAAAGTAAGCCGTGAAATGGAGAGTTTGAGAGTGGTGAGAATGTGGTTCTTGATTTTCACTGGGTACGAACCAGAGGCTTGGCCAGGGTGGAATCAAGAGCCAACTGAAGGGACTTCCCTGGCAGTCCAGTGGTTAAGACTCCTTGCTTCCACTGCAGGGGGCACGGGTTCGTTCCCTTGTTGGGGAACTAAGACCCCGCATGCCACGCTGTGCAGCCAAAAAAGGGAGCCAACAGGAGGAACCCATTCCGTAAGTCCTTCATTTTTGACTCACCAACTTTCAGAGTAATTTGCTAATGTTGATCTGCACCTCTAAATGTCTTCCAGGTTGAAATTTGCTATTTATAATAATAGCTACCATTAAGGAGTGCTACTGTTCCAGGCACTATTATCAAAACTCTGTCTTATCTAATTTAACCCCCAGGCAAACTTTTATTGATGATTCTTCTCATCATTATTACCTTTCTACTCGTACGGAAACTGAGGCACAAAGAGCTTAAATAACTTGCCCCAAGTCACACAGTCTTAACGTAGAGCACCCGTGTGTGATGCTTATACTGTCTTCTAGCTTCAATATCAGTGCTATTTGGAACTTGAAAGGTCATCAGACCTCTGCTTATGACAATATGAACCTGAGAGAATGTGAATAAATAAGAGTATGAATAAACTAAATGTAACACAAAGAGATAGTTTTGATGTTCAGAACCCTCTGATGAGTGTGTACATCGTGGGCTTAGAATGTTTGTTCTTCTGATGGCTTCTAGACTTGGGTAGGTCTATTAGGATATTTCAGAAGACCAGTCGGGGTGGAGGCCTCTGCAAGGCCTTCCACGGACGCCGTCCCACTCAGGTCTCAAAGCCCTCTGGGCCTCTGTTTTCTCATCTGTAAATTGGGTGGTTTGGAATAATCTCCAGGGTTGCCTCCACCTGTCATGCTCTTTGATTATGACGTTTATTTACACATAAGGGGACCCTCTGGGGCTTCTGGAGGTCACCCCCTAGCTCTGTTTCTCTCAGGCCTTTCTCCTCCTGGCCTCCCAGACTTGCCCAGGCATCCTGTATGAGGCTATGGTTCACTCTTCCTTTGTGACACAACAAGGGACACTGAGGAATTTCAGTATTCAATTTCTAGATAGCAGACTGTTGACTACATTCCACGTGTGTCCACGACCTCCTTCCCTTAGCTTATCCTCTCGTTCTTGCTGAAATTGTCCAAGTACATCTGGAACCTCTGATGTGTTATTTCCATGCTGCTCTAAGAACTATTGCCATCTCTCTTTAATCCTGGCCCAGATGTCCTAAGCCATCATCATGCCCCTGCTCAGATGGTGGTTGGACTCTCTTCTGACTAGACTTCCACTGGAAAACATCAAATCACCTTCTGAGGCCTGTGCTGCCCTGCCCTTCCTAGAGCCATATCTTTGAGGAAATACATTTTTTTAGAGTCATAGGAGGTCTGAGGGAGAGACCTAGTTCAGCCTGCCCCCTCCCCTGGGCTTATCCTCTGTCACTTTATAGTCCCGGGAACTGAGGCTCACAGATGCTGAATGCCGTATCCAAGGGTCGGTGAGTGGAGAGAATGTTCTAGGTCCCAGACCAGCACCCTGCCTTACTCGGTACTGCCCTTGCCAACACACACGCACTTCTATCTCATGTCAAAGGTTACAAAAAGTCAATGATTATGGTATTAATTAATGGCAAAAGTTTAGCTTTGTCTTCGTAAATTGCCCCTTTTTATTACCTCAGAGGAAGCTTTTAGGCGGGAGCCTTAGGCATGTCACCTGGCTGCATTGTACCCCAGTTTTATTATCTTCAAGTGGAAAAATGCACCTGGCTCTTTCTATCACGTAGGAATGTTGTGGAAATAAATACGAGTATGGATTTTTCCAGGCCTTAGACTCATTCCAGGGATCACACATTTTGTGTAAGATTGCATTCACTCTTCTGATTGTCTGTTTGTCTACGACTTTCAGTAAATCTGATTCATATATTTTTATATTCATAGTGATTATAAAAGGTACATTCTGAATTTTGACAAAGTGTGCTTGTTCCTAATCTCACTGGTTATTGGAAAACAATGAGCCTTAAAAAAATGCTTCCACACATTGTAGATATTGTGGGTTGGGACTACTTATGTGATTATTGAAAAATTGAGTTAAGGCAGAATCAAGATGAGAATTTGTAAAGTTTTATATGCCAGGCCATTATGGGGGGGCCTATGTCCTTATACAAAATCTGTAACAAATAATTATCAGTGTCTGAAACTGAAGGGAAAGGCAAAGAATTTGGAAGGAGGTAGCATCAGTGCTAAGGAGTTTGTACATTTTTGACTCTGCCTTTCTAGCCCTTTAGTCTGTAAATCCATACGTTGCTTTGAACGTAGTATTATTAAACATTTCATTAATGAATTAATACAGTGAATGCAATGAATTATCATTCTTCACTGTAAAGTTTCACATTTTAATCAAACCAGAGTTGGACAGACTATAATGGGACAGGCATTCAGGCAGGTACGTTTGTAATTATAACACACTTAATACACTAGACTCTCCACACTCTGCACCAGACAAATCCCCTCGTAGCCACGATTCAGTAGACTCTTGTTTCTCACGTGTGGTCTGCAGACCTGCTGCAGCTCTATCGGGCGTCTTCTCCTTCAAACGCCCCATCCCACACCTGCCAGGTCAGACGCTGCATTGTCACGTGATCCCCAGGTGACTCGGTTGCTCATTAGAGTTGGAGAATCACTGACTCTGCAGCTTTCACTTCTGTTCTTTCCCACTGGTCTGTAATAGAATGTTACATTTTCATATCCAGTACGCCTAAGAAAACAGTCTATGAAACTGATGCTGCTGTAATTCTGTCCTTTGCTAAATATAATTATCCTTTACTATTCCCCCCTCCCCCCAGAAAAGTTATTTTACATGTGTTGTCAGTTTTACAAAGTTTATAACCTGGTCCGCCTGTCTTTCATTAAGTTGATTGTTCCTGCTTTGATTTTTATGCCTGAAAGTAATTTGTAATCTTACAATTCCTAGCGTTCTTGTTTTATTTGGAATAACCTTTTACAAATTAATGTTTGGGAGGAAAAAGACCATTAGCCAAGAGCAATTGCTTTTTTTGGCCAGTGTTTAAAACCCCCAAAGAGGGCATTCACTTTGATTTTCTTCCCTTTTGTTCTTAGTAGGAAGTGGTATAAAGGAGGATTTTTATGTTTGAGGAAAAAAATCAATATAAGTAAGAACCAAACTCTTGTTGATATAACCATTTTCATCCTGAAAATCCTTTTCCTCCTTCTCAGCCTATCTGATGAGTTTCAGCTGTCTTCATCATTTAACATGGCCAGATCCTGCTATTTAAAATCATTGGGAGTTACACTGATTTTTCCCCCCTTCTCTCAAGCTTTCTAATAAGCTAAGGAAAGCAAATTCAGTTAATTGGCAGGAGCGGCTCTGCACTTGGCAGTTGTGCCCGGCTGCATTCAGATCAGGATGTGCTGTCTCAGGATGTAAAGACAGCAGCCGAGGTGCCAGGGCTGGTCCTGGAGATGAGAATGCGCTCACTTCCCTCAGCCCAAGGAGGCCCTCCACAAGTTGCTGCACCACCGCAGTGTCATTAAGACCTCATACGGCTGAGTCCTGGTGGATTTCATCTGGAAAAGAAGGAAAGGTTAAGGAGGCTTGAACATTCTAGACTGATGGGGAACTCTCACTGACAGTCATGATGCAGTGATACCACCTGCCTCTCTAAAGACATCTGTGTCCCCATAACTAGACAGACTTTGGTTCATTGGGGCTTTCAAATGCCCACTTTGGGAGAGGACGGTGAATTGGGACTGTCTTTCCCTGTGAATCCCTCATACGCCGTCCAGTGGGGCTGGGCAGGGAATGGAGGTCAGTTCTCAAGGGCACAGTTAGCAGAGGCGAAGACCAGGCTTCCTCAGATGCTGGGGGTTTGCTGATCCACTAGTCTGGTGACCAGTGTAAGACGGTTGGGGGAAAGCAGGGCAGACTTCCTGGAGGCTCTAGGAAAACAGATTCAAACAGGGGAGTCACAGGTGAGAGCAGGGGAGACAGCGGGAGTGACAGTGAGTATGGAATGAAAGGCTAGATCCTGGAGTGAAGTGATTTGCAGAAGAGCGCCCACTCAGAGCCCTGCCCCATCCTCTCCAGGAGATGAATCATCCTCAAAAATGGCTGAAGTGGGGTGGAGGATGGGCCAGGTCAGAAACTTCTGGAGCTGTGTTAGAGCACACCTGCCCAGGCCAGGCCCTCCCAGGGCAGCCATGGGCCCCAGAGTTTAGTAATTAAGTTCTTTATTACTTGAGTAGTTGACTAGTTGAGAACTTGGGTTCCGAGCCAGCCACACTGCAGATGGCATTCTGGTTCTTCCCCTTACTAGCTGTGTGACTTTCTCCCAATGATTATACCTCTCTGATCCCCATCTCCTCGTCTGTAAAACGACAGTGATATCACTAGTAACCATTTCATGGGAATGTTACCAGAGTTGGGAGAAGTCCTCTGTGTATAACGCTTGGCAGAATACCTGTCATATAAGGAAACACTCAGGGAAAGTAAGATGTCCTTTCGTGGCTGGAACCTAATTTTATTGAGAGGGAAATCTCAGCTCTTGTCCAACTCAAAAGAACAAGGTGAACAAAGTAACTTTGATTATAATTCTAGACCTTAGAATCGCTGTTTTCATTTCTTCTGAAGGACTTGCCATTTGAGGTACAATGAGTAGAAAATGTTGTCCTCCTACTTATCAACTTCTTCCAAACACAGATGTTTTTGAAAACTTGTGGTGACAACAAATGACCTGGAAATTAGTCTTTAACGGTTCTCTTCCCTCCTCCCCTGTCATCCCATGGGAAGAATTCCCTGACCAGGAGTGCACCCCTTCCCAATGACTCCCAAGCCCGCAGCGGAGCCCGGTTCCACACATCCTACGACAAGAGGTACATCATCAAGACCATCACAAGTGAAGACGTGGCCGAAATGCACAACATCCTAAAGAAATACCACCAGGTAATGTTTATCTTTATGTGAAACTCTGAGAAGGCTGACATTTGTGACAAATTATCATGAAGGCCAAAGATTTAAATACATAGTTAGGACATGACTAGAACACATTTGACACAAAAATTCCCTCTAGCTGTGTTTTTAAAAATTACTGTGGCCAGATTACCGACAGTTAACATTTAGGAATGATAGATCGGTAGTTAATAGACGTAACACGTTTAATCTAAATATCCTTCTGTACAATAGTTGTGATGATTACCACTCTGATTTTAAAATCACTCTGCTTAAGGTTTGGCAACATTTCGGAAGTTATTTTGCACATGCTGGAGGTGAGGTGCTGACCTCTGAGTAAATTTATCCATTTACACCTACAGATCCTCTCCTGCTTTCACTGGTCTCTTCCTGTCCTGGCCCCAGAAAGGCCCACCCCCCACCACCACCACCATTCACAATCTCCTGCCCAGAGAAGTTTCTGATTTTAGAAAGTGTTTGTCTACTCACCACCTCCTTTTCATGTCAGCATTATCCCCTCATCATCACCTGGGCATAAAGTGACACTACCCTTGGGAACAGCCATCTCTTTCTGTTTCTTTCCCACCCTCCAGTCCCCCCTCCCCCACTCACAAGGGCCTGGTAGAGCACACGATCCCAGCCCCCAGCTAGAGCTGTGTGGACCCCGGCCCCCAGTTAGAGCTGTGTGGACCCCAGCTAGAGCTGTATGGACCCCAGCCCCCAGCTAGAGCTGTATGGACCCCGGCCCCCGGCTAGAGCTGTGTGGACCCCGGCCCCCGGCTAGAGCTGTGTGGACCCCGGCCCCCGGCTAGAGCTGTGTGGACCCCGGCCCCCGGCTAGAGCTGTGTGAGGTCGTACTGTGAAGTAGAACAGCATGAAGCCCCACGTCAGGCGGTCCTGGCTGCAGACCTCAGCCCCGTCACTTACTAATAGCCACGTGACTTCCGGACTTTAAAGCCTCAGCTTCCTGACTTATACGGTGGAGATGGAAACATCAGCTGATTCCGGAGTCCTGAAGATTGTAGGGCAGGTACTCAGCATAGCGTCCGCCACACGCCAGGCTCTCCACACGTGGTGGTGGTCACAGCGGTCATCAGGTCCTACACCAGTGGCCAGTAACAGCTGTGTCACCTTGAGAAGGTGTAGTCTTATGGCATGAGTATGACCATTGATGGCAATATCGCAGCAGCCACCTTGAGAACTGGTGTTTAAACCACACACCGAAACACACAAACGTACACACACGCTGTTGCTGTTAACCAGAGGCTTCTCAAGTGTTTAAACCATCACATCAAGTACCAGCCTCTCAAAGCGACTCCTTCAAAGGCACTGCTTGGTTGGATTTGTAGGCTCTGAGGTGCCTGTAAAAGTCAGCTTCCTTCCTTTACTGTCATGCTTTCTGCTGTAACATCAGGAATTATTTTTTTTATAAATTTACTTATTTATTTACTTATTTTTTGGCTGTGTTGGGTCTTGGTTGCTGTGCGCAGGCTTTCTCTAGTTGCGGCGAGTGGGGGCTACTCTTCCTTGCAGTGCGCGGGCTTCTCATTGCAGTGGCTCCTCTTGTTGCGGAGCACGGCCTCTAGGCACGCGGGCTTCGGTAGTTGTGGCACGCGGGCTTCGGTAGTTGTGGCACACGGGCTCAGTAGTTGTGGCTCGCAGGCTCTAGAGCACAGGCCCAGTAGTTGTGGTGCATGGGCTTAGTTGCTCCGTTGGCATGTGGGATCTTCCCGGACCAGGGCTCAAACCCGTGTCCCCTGCATTGGCAGGCGGATTCTTAACCACTGTGCCACCAGGGAAGCCCCAGGAATTATTTCTTGCCAGTTGCTTATTCTTCTCAAATATGAACAAATGCATTTTTAAAATTTTTTTTATTTATTTTTTTAACATCTTTATTGGAGTAGAATTGCTTTACAATGGTGTGTTAGTTTCTGCTTTATAACAAAGTGAATCAGCTATACGTATGCATATATCCCCATATCTCCTCCCTCTTGTGTCTCCCACCCTCCCTATCCCACCCCTCTAGGTGGACACAAAGCACCGAGCTTGATCAACTGCATTTTGCTTGCAGTGAGGTCTGTGAACATCTTGAAGCTACCTTCTGTTTCTGGAAACTTGGGACGGCCCCCCATTTGTTTTTCTCAAAAACACTGGTCAGCCTCTAAATCCATTAAACATCTAATCAATCTTTTATAACATCTATTCCTTTTGAAATCTGTCCTACAGCGCTTATGCTGTTACCGATTGTGAAGGAAATTTTGAAGTGCTGGGTTAGTACCTATGAGGGTAAAAACGCTCAGGCGTTGGCTTCTGAATAAATGGAATTCTAAGGACGCAGCTTTCGCCATTCACTCCTCTCTGGAACTTAATGTCGCGCTGATGCATTCTTTTTCTGCTTTCTTTAAATTGTCTCAGAACTCTCAAAGCAATGTGATGCCTCAGTGACTGATGAAAACATATTATTCTAATAAGTGACTATGATACTATTCTAATACAGTGTGACATGCAATTCAAATATCAACTTCTTGATGACATCTTTGAGTTCAGAATTTTTTGACTATACAGAAATTACAGTTTGAAACGTCTCCTCTGGGGTAGTTACTGTAACAAACATGCAGATTTGACATATCATCATTATTACATAAAATACATTGGGGACTAAAATAAGTCTATTAACATGCTCCAGGGGCTGTCACAGTACTAAGTATTTCATTTCACTGCTACAGAATGATTATTTTCTTGGTATATTCTTTATCCAGAAAAAGCTCATTTCTCATTTCTTCAGCATCTGTGTTTTGCTTCTTATAAAAAGTATTTTAAATAGAAAGGGTCTTAGTGTTAACCTTAAAACAGAGTGTTGTAGGTCAGTTATTCTTGAAAAACAAAACAAAGCCATAGAGAAAGGGATCAGATTTGTAGTTACCAGAGGTGGGGGAATTGGATGAAGGTAGTCAAAAGGTAAAAGCTTCTAGTTATAAGCTAAGTACTCGGAATTCAATGTACAACATGATGAATATTAACGCTGCTGTGTCATATATGCAAGCTGTTAAGAGGAAATCCTGAGTTCTCGTCACAAGGAAAATATGTTTTTCCTGTTTCTTTGCTTTTGTGTCTCTATGAGATGCTGGATGTTCACTAAACTTGCTGTGATCATCATCTCATGACATATGTGGGAAATCAAATCATTATGTGGTACACCTTAAACTTTGTACAGTGCTGTATGTCAATTATATTCAGTAAAACTGGAAGAAAACAATTTTTAAATAAACAGAGGTATAGGGTCTTAGTGATTGAGAGTCACCATTGTTAATATGATTTATTTAAAGGACACTACATTGAAGGTCAGGAGACCTAAGTCATAGTTTGTCACAAACTGGTTACTTAAGCGATCTCTGAACCTCAGTTTCCCCATCAGCATTTCATTCATCCTTTCATTCGTTTGTGCATGTATTTACCCTTTTTCTTATTGAAGTATAATTGACTTACAATATTATACTAGTTTCAGGTGTGCAGCATAGTGCTGCGATATTTTTATAGATTATGCACCACACAAAGTTATTATAATACTATTGACTGTATTCCCTGTGCCGTATATTTACTCTTGACCTAATTCCAGAGAGGATGTAAAGTGGCCTAGACTACTTTTAGGATTTATGTCTAGTCAAAATTTTTCTGTCTCCTGCTTCGGTGGGGACTGTCAGTTCATTTATTTCTTCTTGCTTTTTGTTGCTTTTACCTTCGAATGTGCCTTTGCTTCTGAACTCCCCCGTCTGGACAAGTCAGTAGGCATGTTCAGATCCCAGATCAGTAGATGGACAGGCTCTCAGAGAGGGCGGCTTCTGCGGAATAAATTGGATGGGCTTTCTGACAGCTTTGGTTACTCTATGGCACTTGACGTCTCTTTTTTCTTTTCTTTCGTTGTTTTTTTGTTTTAGTAAGATATATCCGGAGGTGCAGCTGTATTCTGGAAGGTTAAAGTGACCCCAAGGCCAGCCTCTGGAGAAGTAGAAAATTGCTAGATATTTAAATAAATTCCTCTTAGGGTTAATTTTCTGATGAGCCAACCTCACCAGCAGTGCTGTGTGACAGGTGGTTTTCAGGGCACAGACTCTGCAGCTGGCTGCTTTGCTCCCGACCTGCTGTGTGTGACCTTGGCCAAGTTTCCTATCCTCTCTGCACCCGCTTCTCTGTCTATACAATTTGGATAATAGTACCTCCTTCATCCAGTGTTGTACTAATCAGGTGAATTGATATTTATTATATAACCTGCTCAGAATAGTGCCTGGTATATGATAAGTGCTATGTAAATGATCCAATAAGATCATTAAATACCTTTCTTGCACATACTTAGTTGCCGTAGTCCCAGTGTCGAAATCATTTGCTCTTTGAATCCACTAGGGGGCCTGGTTTCTGGTAGAGTGTTGCAGAGATGCAGACAAATCTGAAGATTCAAACCATGAGGAGTTAGATTTTTTTTCCCCAAGCTCCAGCATCTTGCCTTAGTCCTTATTTGCTGCCCAAATCCTACCCTAATTTCCACTGTTCGCTAAGAAAGCATAGCATCATCTTTCAGACCAATGGAAAATTTATATCAAGCAGAGCAAACTTTTATGTCTCTTTTCCTTTTTCTCTTTTTTTATGGTTGGGAAAGTAACTTAGTGCTTTGGTGTAAATATCCTTTTCTTCAAATTTCTGTTAGGTTAGGACAAACTCAGGTCTTCCAAATTACGATTATCCAAAGAAGAGGAGATATATGTATATGCATAGCTGATTCACTTTGCTGTACAGCAGAAACTAACACAACATTGTAAAGCAACTATACTCCCATAAAAATTTAAAAATATAATAAATAAGTGATAGTTATCACCTGATTTGCTGAGCAATGCTGAAGAGCATTCAGAAGGAAAAAATGGTCAAGAACCTTCTTGAATGTCTTATTTCTTCTAAATTGACTGATTTTTCTTTTTTGACTGACCTGCATTCATTGGGAGTTT